ATAGATTGAGGGTCGCATGAATGATTTTTGTTCTTAATGACGTCTCTGGATATATGTGATTGATTGATATGTGGACTGACAAGCACCCTTCGATTGGGCGCCAGCCTCCCGTATCTCCCATCCCAACGCGACCTTTYCCCTACAGTGAGGAAAKGACACGYGTATGTGAGTSGGACGTACGAGAAGYCGTCGCACAAATYGGCGGGCAGTATTAYTTCCCCCCGGCCAASCGTTRTTYKGGGTTCGTAGACGCCRGATTTGTCATTATCGATACGCACTTTCCACCCTACTCGATATTGTTGCYGTTTAACGAGYTGATCGTCATTCMGTGGACGRYAGTGGCGCCCCATTRGCCCCGCACTCTRTGCACGAAGTGCCAGCGTTTCGATCGCTACGAAGCGAAGGGCTTCCACTACCGAATACGGAGTGAGGACGAGCATAAGGAAAGAGCCACTCGGCTGAGACCATCCACGTCGGATTCGGAACTGACCAGCGAACGACGACGAGATCTGATACGAAAACGAGACACGCGAAGCGTGCCAGAGCCTTTCCGTTCTAAACGACGGGCTATAGCCCGGTGGGAAGCCCAACAGTACTTTCCGGATTGAATTTGGATCTTTCTGTTTTCGCGTCATGTCCGCGTGCGCATTCCGCGACGCGCGAAACTAATTGACTTGCTTCATCGGACCATCACGGGGGATTTCAGTTCCATCTGTGTCCCCACACTCAATTTCCAAAAATCCTTGGCACACCCCATCTTGTTGTTTTTCTGGGCCTCTTTCCGCACGTCTCACACTCCGAACGAAAGACAGCACAGGGCGTGAGGTTGCGCGTCACAGCTCGGCCTAGGAAGTCACCGCCCAGGAGGCCGGTAGGCCGCTATATCTTCGGGAAGAGCAAAGAGCTCTTCCTCGTTAGCGGTGTGCAAGGATTGGCGACATGCTGCTGGAGCACAGCGCTGGACTGGAGCAGCGCTGCTTGGAGGTGAAGGGCCCTTGGAGCTCGGCCTGGCTATGGCAAGCAGTCCAGCTTGAGGAGGAGGAAGAAGGGGCATGGTATGAGAGTGGCGAGGCACTTACCTGGCTATGGTAGACACCATCTTCATCACCTTGTTGGGTGCTGCATCTGGAAGGCCCCAGTTGGGGTAACGCTGCACCAAGGAAGCTCGAGGCAGGGTCAGGCATGGCGGACCAGTCAGCAGCGGCATAGCTGCTTTGAGTTGTCCTTTGGACATCAGCGCAGCACCATAGCTGCTTTGGGTTGTCCTTTGGACGTCAGGGCAAGGCCCTCATTAGTCTGCCATAGCCTATGCATGAGAGAGGAGGCTGAAGGAGGGAAGCCATAGCTATGGTGGACTGGTTGTCGTTGTTGTTGTTGTTGTTGTTGAGTTGAGTCAGCAGTTAGAAGGAACTTCGGATATTGCTTCTGGTTCATCCATTCATTGTTATTATTAGTATTGAGAGAAGAATAAGATTGGTGAAGTGAAGGAGGAGGAAGGTGGAGAGAGAAGGGGGAATTGTCATTGGTCTTGCTGGTGTATATCTTCTTCTTCTTCTTCTTCTTCTTCTTCTTCTTCTTCTTCTTCTTCTTCTTCTGTCTCTCTCCTCTGGTCTTTATCTCTTTGCAAGTGCTTTCATTTCTTTCGCAATTGGGTGGCATTGTCTTTCATTGTGAATTTGCACTTGGGAAATGACCAGGATCATAACAGGCCACCTCTCGCGCCCCTTTCAGCTCACAAGGTCTTTCCGGCAAGGCTGACCGCTTGCACCTCATCTTTTTGTGCTGCAGTGGGAGATTCTGCTTAACCGGATCCAGAAGCACTCACCTATTTGGGGTCCCCCCCTATCTAAGGAAAGAGAGAGTAATATTAAGGCTTTGATCGCTTAAGTCTATCCTAAATGAGTATGCTCAGCTGTCAGAGGCGCTGGTCAACTAGTCCGCCTACATTCTTCTTGATGACAAGCCTCTTCGGGTTAAATGGGGGATGCAACGGGTTAACCCACAATCCAGTGACCACTTTCTAGGTGTCCTGGTAAGCATGAAAGTCATGAGTACGGCTCAGGGTCTTCTTCTGTAGCAAGAGCATGCCGTGAGACTTCAGGCCTGGGGTCTGCCTAGCACCTGTCCCTCTTTGCCAGGGCCGTGGCCATCGACATGGCCCCGTTCTCCCTCATTTGATTTGTATGGGAAGTGAGGGAGATGGCTACAACCTTCCTGGCAGAAATCCAGCGTGTGGCCACTAAATTCTTGTGGAAGCCCACAGCAACAGCAGAGGAAGGCTTCTTAGTGAAAGTTGCTTGGGAGTCTGTCACCTTCTCCAAGGATCAGGAGGGACTGGGGTTGATCTATCCACCGCAAGAATCAGGCGCAGGAAGGAAGTGGTTGGTGAAGGTGGCAAGGGCAGAAGACAGGGAGGACTGGATCCTTCTGGCTGAGAGACTCTTGATGAGGGAATGGCGGCTCACTAGGCCTAAGAACGTGTGGCTCTGCATTTCTGTTTTTTTTTGTTTTTTCCTTTTTGTTAAACGCCCAGGTTATTGTAGAGGCAGGTATCAGGCGCGGGAGTACTCTCCGGTGTTCGGTCACACGAGGTTCTGAATGACCCACTTGGCTTTCTGGACCATTTTCCTAGACGTATAGAGGCTATTGCAAGTCGTGTCCCTGCCTACACCTACCAGCTTGCCACCAGAGATCCGATTCTGTCCCTACAGATCCAACCTCCAACTGGGTGCTATTTGGGCACACCCTAAGTAGCTTTGTCCCCCAATCATTGACTTAGCAGATCTCTAGCGGATCCCCCCTGGGACAGGTGTAGAGTCTGTCTCCCTCCTATCCCCTACCTCCTACTCAGGAGACAGGCTCAGTACAAGTCCTTGCCCGAGATATACTTTATCGGCATCCTCTCTACTAGTCCCTCCAGCCCCTATACTCCCTCTCAGAGCTCACCCGTGCTTGGCCCCTGGTGGGTCCGAGGACCCTGATGAGCTCGTTTATGAAGAAGAAGCTGTCGTCGGAGTTATGGGAAGCAGTTCGACGGGCTAAGATAAAGCACCCCCCGAAGATCAGAACTATGCCACAGACTAAGGAGGGGGTACTGCGTCAAAGCCTATTTGAAAACCCATTCATATTGAACAGAGAAGGTGCTAACTTTTCTGCTGGATCTGACCCTGCATCAATTATTCTGCACCTCTCCACAAACAGTACAGATTCAGGCGTAAGATCTCAACAGGGAGAGAGAGAGAGAGAGAGAGAGAGAGAGAGAGAGAGAGAGAGAGAGAGAGAGAGAGAGAGAGAGAAGATTCATGCGTTAAATCCTCTCCATCTATCTCTCTCGTGAGATTTTACGCCTGAATCTGTACGTGTTTGTGGAGAGGTGCAGTTCTGCAACTGTCGCACACCTTCAGATTCGTATGTTAAATATTCTGTGTCTCTCTCCCTCTCTGTGTGTGGTACACGCGCGTTCATCATTTGTTAAATTCTCTCTCTCTCTCTCTCTCTCTCTCTCTCTCTCTCTCTCTCTCTCTCTCTCTCTCTCTCTCTCTCTCTC